CCCTTTGCCCCTCCTTCCACTCAGACACTCTTTCTCTCTCTCAAAGGAAAAAAATGTTTTAAATTAAAAAAATAAAAATAACGCACACTAGATTGTTAGTCATGGTGACTTCTGAGGAGGAGGCTAAATTGTGGAGGAACTTTGAAAAGGGGATATTGTGACTCATCTGTATTTTTAGACGTTTTCTGCAATAGAAAGATGTGTACTACTACCTTCTTAAGTAAAATTTCTAGATAAGCCCAACAACAAAAAAAGCGGCTGCGTGAAAGTAACTGCTAACCGATGGAACAAACTTTGACATTTGACGGGCTAACACACCAGAAATGCATTTTTGTGCACACAAATTCTGATACAGTTTGGCAGGGACCCTCTGCTTTTCCTAGACCCTGGGTCCAGGTTGGTTTCATCTTGTGGCTCCCCTATCTCAACACGGGGTCACCATGTTTGCTGGTGAATCAAGGGAGACAGCATGGAACGGACACACTGGCTCGCACGCAAATGCCTGGATGTGAGAAACAATGCTTCTGCTCACATCTCCATGGCAAAGGGTCATCACGCAACCCTCCCTAACTACAAGGGGACTGGCAAGGTGGTGTCCCCTGTATCCTGGAAGGAAAGCAAGACACACTATGGATGAACATTAAAGTTTCTCCCATGTATTGTTACACAGTGGGGGCTTAACCAAATGCAACTATTATAATTTGTTATGACGACTGACTTTATTGCTGGGAGGAGTTTCTTTTTTTAAGATTTTATTTATTTAATTGTCAGTGAGAGAGAGAGAAAGAGATTGCACAAGCAGGGGGAGCAGCGGGCAGAGGGAGAAGCAGGCTCCCCATGGAGCAGGGAGCCTGATGTGGGACTCGAGCCCAAGACACTGGGATCATGACCTGAGCCAAAGGCAGACGCTTAACTGACTGAGCCACCCAGGCATCCCAGGGGAGGAGTTTTTGAGGTCAGTTTGCCTTGGAATTCTTTGAACTTTTCAAGCACCTCCTGTGTGACAGATACTTTCAAGTACAGGATGACATCTAATTTTCAAACGATTCTGTGATCTCAGCAGGGAGGATTCACTTTCTTCATTTAGTGACCAGAGGATTACTACAGAGAGTAAAGTTCTATGTTGGGGGAGAGAAGGTGATTCCTAGCTGTTCCATGGGGACCAGTGAATGAGCTCGTTAGCAGGCCAGGTTCAAGAGTGAGACAGAAGAGCACACAGGGGGAATACCAGGGAAAGGCTGCTGTAATTCGGGAAAGTGCTAGGTCTGGAAAAATTGCCAGTGCCTGGGCAGTCAGTTCTCAAAGGACTCTGAGGCTCAGGCAGAAGAACTCTAGGTTAATAAAGCCCACAGACAGTACCCAGAACCTGTTTGATTCTCATTGTCACCTTCCTTCCTTAGCAACAGGTTTTTTAGTACCTTAGCCACAGCATCCTTCTTTTTGTCACCTGGAAGACACCATGCTGTCCTCAGGAATGACGTAGGACTCAGAAGGTTGGACACAGGCTGCGGTGGGTGGGAACAGCGTGGACTCTCCGTGAATTCAGACCCGGGTTCTAGTCTCTGCCCTGTCACTCACTAGCCATGTGATCCTGGGAAAATGACCAAGTCCTAGGAGCCTCAGGTTCTTTCTGAAGTGAGTGAGTTAAGTGAGTGAGTTTGGTCAGCCCCGTCTTGCAGGACTGCAGGAATGCATGTGATATATGGGGAGCACCTTGCACAGTGCCTGGCATCTATTGGAACTTTGATGAATGGCAGTGATTTCAAGTGCTGTTTTGGTCCCAGAGCCTTCCACTCTCTCCTCTGGGGTACTTGTTCTGTTACCCAGGTCATGTTAGAGAATGTGCAGCTCAATAGGACATGGAATAGCTATGGAACAGCTAATCAGCCAAAGAGGGTGCTTCATAAGTAAACCTCAATCCATTTTCTAAAGCAGAGGATATACAGGAGATGTCTGGGACTATGTGTGGAATTCAGGTGTGTGAGGGGAGTGTCCCAGCTGGACACAGTACAAAGCTCCTAGAATGTGAGCCAGAGACCAGCTCCTTCCCTCCCTCCCAGCTGCTCTTCCACCAAACCACTCCTTTCTCTCATTTCTCCCCCCACCAAAACCTAGACCTTGCTTACTTATAGCTGTCCACATTGCACTCCGGATAACCAAACTAAAATGACTTTTTAATGCAGTGGGTTCTGGCTTTGCATGGTCAGGACAAGAGTGTCAGTCTAGAGTCTTCTGGGCTCCACTTCAAAGGAATATCACTGTATTTCTCCAGAAATACTTGCAGATGATGGATATAAAACACCTAGTCTGTGCACTGTGTTCAACTGCCTTGGGATGAGAGTGCAGGATACCTTCTTTTCCTGCCCCAGGGGGAGATTTCTCCGTGGTTTGTCCAGGATCCAGAAGGAACTTCTCAGAGCAATTATCCATTTCAGACATTGCTCCCACCTCTAAGGCACCCTGTCTCCAAGCAGGGCCAATGTCGCCCCCCAGGTTCACGGTGATCAGCTGCACAGAGGGAATCACGGTGACCCGACACCCTGAGCCACCCAGGCCAGGGGCACGTCCACTGCAGTGCTTGCCCCGGGAGCCGCACTCCCTCACCCTTCTTCCGTTTCTTCTGCAGGTCTCAGGGCACCTCTCCCCACTTTCCTGCCATGAGAGCAGCTGCTAGACAGTCCCCTAAGGGTGGGACGTGTCCTGCTTCTCCTAATGTCCTCACTGCTCACACACAGGGCCTTCCAGAGAGCAGAGCTCCGTCCATGTCTGGGAATCAAGGAGCCAGTGAGCAGGGCTCCCTCTGTGCTGAGATGTCGTTTCTCCTCCTTTCTTGAAGAACCAAGCGAATGAAGGAGCACGTATCTATGTTACTTTTGCAGAATGACAGACGAGAAGGAGTAAGAAGCAAAAATGAACAATCTTTTATTTCCCTATTTCCTGACCCCGTCACTTGACTGCTCCATTCTTTCACCTTTCCAACAGATTCCTATGCCAATGCCCTGTGATTTCATTCCAGAACCCAAACAAGGAGGGAAGATCTCCCACCTTATTTCCAGAACATGACAAAACTCTTAAAACTCTTGAACTGGGTAAGTACAAATGCTGTGGGGTGGATGTCACGCCCACACTTAGCTGCCGAAGCTGGTTAAAACTTCTACTCCAAGGAACAACATTTGAGAGCTTCCTCAAGAAAACCAAGCTCTGGATGTCAGAGTCATCGCAGAGAACAGGCCCCCAGAGAGGCTGGCTCTTCATCTTGCTTTCTTCCTCCAACCCTCCCTGGCCCTGCCCTACTTAGAACTCCTGGGGCTCTCTCTTCACACACGCAGGGAAGAACCAAAATGTGGCCTCACTTCATGCCCAGCACCTTGCAGGAGAAGCTGCCGACCCCACCAAAGCCTGGAAAGGGCCTGGCCACCACTGGAACTCAGGCCCCCTCTCCCTCATCGCTCAAAGCTCCTTCAGACAGGATCAGGGAGGAACCGGGCTGCCTGCGATTGACCCGGAGCAAATACTCCAACACTTGCAACTTGCTGGTTTTGGCGTGGGCCCTGGGACCCCACGGGAACTCGTAGTGGGCAGGGTCGCTGCCGGGCACCTGCCGGAACTCCAGGTACCCTTCCTGCACCCAGACTTTGGTGAGGAGCTCCCTGGGCTCCCCATAGATGATGTGCTGTTTGCCAGCAAACACCCCCATGACCCCCAGCGCTTCCCACACCTCCCCCTCAGGGGCACAGTTATCCTCCACAAGGGTCACCCCCAGTAGCAGCACCAGGAGGCTGGTCTTGGGCAAGCCCTGCTCACCGCTCAGCATCCCGTCACAGGTGAGGCCCAGGACGGTGACCAGGATGTAGGAGTGGTTGCTGAGGTCCACTTCCTTCACATCCACGCCAAAGACCAGCCGCATGCACTCGGAGGCTTGGCCCAAGATCACTGGGAAGTCGTCCTGGTAATCTTGGCTGACGATCTCCAGCATCTCTGCCTGGCGGGTCGGCTGCTTATTGCGGTATTTGAGGAGCAGGAACCCCACCAGGGCAGCCACTTTCAGGTGGAGTTCGTCCTGGAGAGAGGGTTGGGTGACTTCCGGCTCCTCCCAGGGGCTCGACCCCTCCTCATCGGAGCTGCTGGAGCCCTGGTCAGGCTGCCTCCAGGCCCCGGCTGCCTGGGCAGTGGGGGAGGGACAGGCACTCAGAGAGCTCTGGGGAGGACTCTGGAACCCAGCAGCAGACCCCTCCTCCGAGGGGACCAGAAACAGGGCAGAGCAGGAGCCAGATGGGGCGGCGGACTGGAGGAGGCCGAGGCGGAGGAGGAGGAGGGGGCGCGGGGGACCTCGTCCTCCCCAGCCCCCGACAGCTGTGCCTCCACCAGGCCCTGGGCCGGGCCTGGGTCTTCCTCCAGCTTCCAGAGCTCACTCCTCTGACCCAGGGGCATGG